TACAAAACAGAATACAACACAGAAATAACACTTTTCAATTCCGTTTTTTAAGTGTCTGCTTTCAAAGATATTTAATTGACTTTCTGGTATTTTTTTAAATGAGCCACAATATATCGGTTTTACTATAATTGCTGCAATATATTTTTTCGAGTGCAGGTCACACAACTATGCCGCCGGCCTATGAACAGTTTTAATGCAATCTAAAGTTTTTGACAGTCCCGCACTTCACTTTCGTATCTGTGTGCCGGGCCCAAAAGGATCAAAGCCCTGTGTCCTGTGTCCTGTGTGCTGTCTCCAGTGACCAAAGGGCCCTGCGAGTCCTGTGAGTGGTCCTTTTGGAGAACCGGGGTCGGGTTTAATTTATGACTTGCAATTAGCAGTTGGCAAATGTGTAATTTTCATAGATGCAGAGGCCTTCCGGACTTGATATATAATGATAGGACATGGCTCCAAAGGATATTACGGCTAATCGAGATTTGAATTTGCCAGCCGCTTTAGACAAAAGGCAGTTTAAACTTTTAAGTGAGCCTGAACGGCCAAATATTAAGTTCCCAGTTAATTTTGGTAATCTGGTGCCGTTCAGTGGAAACTTCTACTTTCGGAAATTGTTGCAGCCAATTAGTGTCAAGTTTGGCAAAACCCAAACTGGGTCAAAATAAATTCACCCTATGTGCAGTGCACAAAGTAACTTTAAGCTGCGTCTGAAGAAGTTTTTCATTACAAAGATTTATGGTTTAAAATAAAATCAACAACTATCCCGCAAAGAGCAAGAGTTCAGTACTCCAGATTCCTTAACAATTCAACGCACTGCAGCAGTAATTTCTCCGCTCCGGACATTCGTTGTCCGTAAGCTGCAAAGGCAAGCTCAAATATTTATAATGCTGTCCAACACTTGGTTGACCACAACTGCTGGCCTGGCCAAGAACATTGACCGCAACCGACAAAAAAAAAAAAAATAAAATAAAAATAACAAGGGAGAGAGAAAACAAAGAAATCAAGGCAATCGGAGGGGAGGGAAAAACAATAAATTGATTTTTGTATCTCCTCTGTGAACAAGTGCAGGATCTGGCCAAAAAGGAGTATGTTGGATATATGCCATAGTGTGTATACTCCACTTACTTGGTCGCACACGCCCCGATAATTATGAAATTCGAGGCAAAGAAAATCTAAAAAACCCAAAAATAAAAGAAACCAAATTTCTACAGAAAGCAAAAATCAATTTATGAAGCGAACACGCCCCGAAAACTTTTGGACGAACGACGTTTAACTGCAAAACGCCCAACTGCGAGGCGTGTCCGAGCACCAGACATTTGAAAGGATACAAGGCGATGGCAGCGAAGGACAATGCCGGGCCGCAACATATGCGAACGGGATAATAATTCACCGGACGAAAGGCGATGGGAACAATGGTCGCATAACTCAGGCGCGCCAGATGAACTAAGGACATGTAGGGATACGAATACGACGAGCTGACCGACCGCATTATGGATCCTGGGATCGGCCCTAATTCAAAGGACACGCGCCCAGCGGGATATGTGCGATGTCCTTTTGGCCAGCGTTTGATGTGCGGCGGCTAGGACGACTAGAAATTGACATTTAATGAGCACAATCCTCGCTCCCACGCAGCACCGATGGGAATTTTATTTCAACACTCAAAAAAATAAACAATATTAGTAATAAACTGGTAATTCAAATTTGTTTTGTATTCTGTTAAAAAACAATTAGTGTGACATAAATCTAAAAAATTTAGATGGTGTAACCAATAAAAACAAAAATAATTTAATATTTAAATTTTGATGTGTTCTTTTTAAATTTATTTATAAACTTTATTGAAAAACACATTTAATTTACAAATATAAAACATTATTACAAGAATGATTTCTGCTTCAATTTTCTTTGCTTGAAACAGTTCTAAAATATGTTGACACGAAATTTGTATAAGAAGAAATAATTCTGTTTATTTTTCCATGATTTAAAATAAGACTTTTAATTATTTAAGAAGCAGCTAGAATGCACCTCTGAAATTTTTTTAAGTGCATTCTCTTACATAAATCCCGGCTAGCCAGGACCTCGTTTGCGCAACACCTTTTGTTATCGCCGAAAACACTTGTCCCGGGGTCCATTGCTCCTCGCTGGCCAGTCGGTTGGCAAATATACATTGTTACCTGGAGTGTCGCCTGTTTGTTGTCTGGTCTTCGTCTGGTCGATGGGGATTTTCGATTAGCCCTCTCACACATATCAAAATCGGACGTTAATTGTTTTCAGGTTCGTGGCATGTCAACAGCTTCAAGCACGTCGCCGACTTCGCCGAGGTTTCCTACACAATTTATCTGTCTAGCCGGCTAAATTTTATGGATTTGTTTTGTTTGCCTGCCCCGAGATTGCAACAATTACTTATGAATCATGTCTGCGAGGGCAGGGTCTCAACAATTGGTTTTAAGGAGCGTTTTAATGCGATTTTTGATGGCAATGGTTTCTTGAGACTGAAAGCTTAGTGCCATTTTATTACGGCATTAAATTTAACTAAACTTCAATTGGTACTTAAACTATGAAGAACTTGGACATTAAACTATTAAATTTTCTTTAAGATAAAAAAGTTTACTGAATTTAAATTATATTTGATAAAATTTGGCTTACTTTTAGATTTATATTTGTGTTTAAAATGCTGAAATGTATTTAAAATCTAAGTGTTATTAATTGCCATGTGTCAGTCTCTTTGTTGAGATTTCCTGCTTCGCAAACAATTTGTACTGGCAATTAAAATCACAGTCGCCTCATTTTACACACTTTTACTTTGGATGGAAGGGGGCTCGCAAATCGCTTGACTTTTGCGCTTTTGTTTGCCCTTCCAATGAATTAAAATCCCCGGCACACACGCAAACATATCAGCGTTTGGCAAACAAGTGCTGAGGCGAGACAAGGGTCCTCCACTTTTGACCACATTGCGGCCAAGTACTGGTCGCATTTTGAGCCCAAGAGCACCAGCTGTTGTTTTGCGAACCCACCCACCGAAGTCCATCCAAAAACACCCAACCACCCACCACCTTACGAACACCACAAATTCCACCCGCGGAACAACCAACTGAATTCTAATAATTTTAAACAAAAACAAACTTCCTGGCCACATGCTTCATGCCACATGCCTCATGCCAATGCCCATGCACTGCAGCATTATAGAAATTACAATGAGCGAGTTTAGAGAATTCGTTTCGAAATTTCACGCCACCGTCTGTGACGAAATTTCTTTTTATGGCAAAGGACAAGTGCAGCTATGGCCAGGATGAGTCACCACCCCCTTTCAGTATTCCCATTTTTTGAGGACAACCCCTGGCTGGCAAGTGGAATAAAGGTTGCAACACGAAACCGAAACCCGAAAAAAGCATCGCAACCCCGTAGAAACAGTTGCCACATTTAATCAGCATGAAAGTTCCCAGTCTGCCAGGCTGTTCAGCTATTTAAGGACCCCGGAGATTCCCCGGAATTAAAACTCAGACGAAAATGAAAATTTCTATACTGCGTTAGTTGGCTTTTTTGTTAGAGGCGAAATAAATGAATGCATGAATTCCAAAGCAATTTTAATGTTGACATTGAGTAATGTTGGCTCCGTTCGGCTCGGCTTGGTCTGGGATTCAGGTTCATTCGATGGGTTATGGGTGGTGGTGGGTGGTTGTTTGGTTTGGCATTTTCATATCATTTTCGAATATTACATGCGGATTAGCATTTCCTCATCGGGATTGCAACAAAACGTGTGCCCATCTATTGGGGGCTTTTGTGGGGTGTTTCGTTTGGTGGAATGGGGAGCAGTTTAAAAGGGGGTGGCTCGCTGCATTGGGTGGGTGGTTTTGGCCCTTTGTCTGGGGGAGTGTGCTGTCGATTACCCTCGGAAGGTGTTTTTTAGTGCTCTTAAAGGTTTTTGGCCCGAAGAAATTAAAGTTGGAAGAAAGGCGGCAAAGGAAGGAAATTGAAACCGGAAGAATAACAAAGAAGGTTGAGATAAAGGATTTATGTATTCATAATTTTGATTGGAAGAAGCTCAGGCAACAACGACATAATATTCTATGTAGCACAAGGTAAATTAACAAATTTTTATTGGCAATTTTGAAGAATTTTAAAAAAGCTAATCCAACTTAATTTCATAATTTTAATAGAAATTAGAGATAGCAAACCCATACTTTTTGACAATATATTAAAACTATCTAATATAAATCCAGATAAATTCAATAAATTACCACTTTCCTAATAAATGCAATTCATTTAATCAAATACTGTTAAGTTTGTGAGTACAAATTCCTGAAATTCCTCATCAAACACATCGAAGCCAACCGCATTGCTTTCGAAGTTCCCAAAACTCAAATAGCTTTCCCCATTTCCAGACTTAAGAAAACTTGCCATAATCTTAGCATATACCGTCGACAACTTTTGGCTTTTACAACCCGACTTTTGGACAAGTTTAAGGAATTTCCCAAATCAACAGCCTTTCAGAAATCCAAGGGACGAGAAAGGGGGAATTTTTGGGGGCGGTGAAGGGGGCGTAGGAAACCCAACGTCGAACTAACTTTTCAATTTTCTTTTCACGCTCGCATTTTACAAGCTGCTACATGATTAGGGTCAATGGTTGCCGGGCTCCTACGCCCCTCACCTCCTGAAAATTGTAACAAGCTGCCAAATTTCACACTCAGTTTCTGATTCTGAAATAACTCGAACGAACGAACGAACGAACACCTAACGAACTCAAAGTTTTTGGGGGGGAGTGGAAAAAGGGGGTTCGTATATCTCTCAATCTTGTCATCACTGCGATTGCAATCATAATCACATTCACTGAAAATTTTATTATTAACTGACAGTTTATTAAAAACTCATTGGGTTGCCCGGCCGGCTCTGATTTGTTTTTGCCGGGATTACTGTTTGTTTTTGGACCGGTCCCCTTATTTGTTATCGAGATCTTGGGCACATGTCGGGGATGTCTGATTACCGACGCAAGATAAATATTAAGCAACTATATGGAGGACTTCCGCTTGGATTTGGAGAAGGATTCGGGTGACGCCATCATCGGGTGCTTCTTTGCCGTAATTGACTCTCAGCCGGAGGGCAAAAACTGCTCCCCCAAAAACGGGTAATGAAATTTTGGCTTCGAGTGCTATCAGCATGCATATATTTTCAGGAAAGGGAGGGAAAGGGGGAGTGGAAGGGGGAAGAGGGGGTGGCATCCCCCAGCCAGCGAAACTCCACTCAACTTGCCACTGTTGTTGTTTTGGCACGTGGCACGTGCAACGTGGCCAGGAAATGCCTTGAAATTGATTTTTATTTTCATTTTAGTTGAGAGTTTTTTGTATGTTCTCTAGCCCCGGGGTCTTGGCGTAATTATTCCTGTCCTCTGTTCCAGCATGTGATTAGATTTTCCAGCAAAAGTTTATTCAGCTTTGTTGTCGCTCGATGATAATTAAAAATGATTAGCTCATAAATATTTCCTCCTGTCGAGGGAGAGATTTATGGGAAGGTAAATACAGAGACACCAGATGCCCCAAAGGCCAAGACATTATTCCACTTGAGAGCTCAAGGCGAATCTGGGGGAAGCTAATTCGAAGGGGTGAATATTTATGATTTAAAACCGTCAGCCATTTCAAATTCAAGTTCTTGCTTTCCAGTTACCATTTATATAGGTTTTTACTCGTTTTAAATTGTTTAAAGATGTATAACGTCCGCGATGTTTTCACAGTTGACATCCAAGCCATTCATCTCGAGTACTATAATTTTTAAGATTTAAAAATATCATGTTCATAAAAAATAATTTACAAATTCTTACACAAACACTTAATGGCATTTAATTCACATCTTGTAATATTACTCCACTTGGAACCAACTTCTCTACTGCAGTTTCGATTAAAAGCATTTGTTATTTCGTTGTACTTTCCTAATTGAAGTTCAGTTTCCTGGCATTTTAACAGCACGTCATTGCACTTGTATAGATCTCCAAAATAGTTGCCTTTAGTTCCAATTAAAGCACTTAAAGCTGGTAAAATCAACATTTAAATTCGGGTTTTTAAAAACATTGCTATAAATTGCCTACCGAGCACAAATATTAATTTTAACATTTTGATTTAAACTACAGAATAATTTTAACTTGTGCTGCTCTTATATAGTGACACCTCTACAAAATGCTTTGTTTAAGTTTACGCTTTATTTAAATTTAACCTTTGTTAACATTTTTTGTCTGTGCTCTTTGACAATGTAATTTGTATAAAAGACAATTCATTTCCTGTATGTACTTTTATTCTATTCAATTATAATTCCAACACTTCGGCAATGTTTTTGCAGGACATATCATCACACCTTTGTAAAATCACTGAAATAATTAATTTTTGTCACCAAGAAAAAAATAAACCATTTTAAACAGGAAAACTTACGAAGGCAGGTAGCTTTCTCCATTTCACACCGAGATACATTATTCCATCTTCCTCGACGTTCTCGACGACAATGTCGATTAAAAGAATCTATAGTCTCATCAAATCTTCCTATTCTCGGAGTAAATCGTTGACAATCTGCGAATACACTTTCACAATAATCTCGATTCGATTGAGCTTCAATCGAAGACAGAGCGCAAAGAACTGCAAAAAAATAATGTTTCTGTTAATTTGTTTAAATAAAAAGTATATATATTTTTACCCAATAGCAGCGAAAGTTTCCACATTTTGAACCAATGCCAGCTACACAAACTGATGGGTTTTATCTTCTGGGTTGTTTATATAGGCGAAAGTGATCTGAAAATAAAGGTCACACATTTCACATATTTTTTGAGGTTTTTTTCTTAAAATTAGGTTATCACTTATCTTATTCAATTATCTCGTTTATCTGTTTTATCTGTATTATACTGACAGGGCCTCTCCTTGCTCTAATTTAAATCAAAAATATCTTTTGTTGCATCCAGTACTTTGCAAGTGTTTTAAATCTGTTCGCTGGTATATAAAGGAAGATCACCATCCAACTATCAGTTGATTAACATCAGCTTTATAAAAATGCGGTTTCTCTGCGTTTTGTCCTTGTTCCTCATCATTTGCTGCCAATCAATAACGGCGCAGCGTTTGAATTGTTCAAGGATTCGTGAGAATTGTAGACCCTGCACCCGTCGCTTGGTGGATCCTATTAACAATCTGGAGTTCATTAACAGAGATTGCAGGGAAAAAGTTGGAGACCGTTGGATCTGGCGGGATGTCAGGCGTTGCGACATGCAAATTGTTGCCTGCGAGAGTAAGAATACCATAAAAATAATACAAATAAAAAAAATGTTATATAATTATTTTACAGATCATGACAGCAGGTTGGATTGTGAAACTGTGGCTAGGTTGGCTGGAATGAGAAGACGTCGTGATATTGACTAACACTAATCTTAACCAAAAACAAAATCAAAAATAAATAAACTGCATTATACTTGTATTTTTGATATTCTCAATATTATACGTTTGTTTTTTGGGAATAAAGCATTTCATGTTACTTTAATAAAGTGAGCTACTATTATCACATCCTTAAACTGGCTAGGCGAAAAATTTTAAAGTTTAATCGGCCCAATTCTAAAGGCAAAAAAAGGTCATTAAGAATTTAAATCTGTCTTTATTATCAACAAATAATTTATGAAAAGGTGTCATGGTATTTAGATTAATCACCAGTCCCAAACATTTTTTTAGCAAATTTTTTGTGTTTTGGATAGCATATATTTATTTTATTTGTTATGATAAACACATTTTCAAGCAGGCATTTTTTGATTACGACCACAGGCTATCTGCCACATTTTTGCAGGTACTATTCTCACATCGAACCATTGTGACTGGGGAAATAGATAACTTAATAATCATAAAACATAAAGAACTTAAACAATTTTCTTACTTATGCATGACGCTTTAACCAGCTGGCATCGGGTTACCTTCCTCCAATTGCGATTGGATCGACTGCAATATTCGTTGAAAAACCCAACGGTGTCATCCTCGGTTCCTACGGTGGGTTCTTCACGACGACATCTATTATATAAAAGTTCGCAGAACCGGCGGCCCTCGGGATCCTGAGCAAGGATCTGAGATACCAAAATGCAGCAGAGAGCTGTGAAAAATAAGTTTAATCTATTTCTTATTTTATACTAGGATATACAAGGATTACCGAACGCCAACAAAATCTTCATTTCTAAAGTTTTATGATATGGAAATTAAGCAATACTCTAAATGACTACTGACTACTTAAAATGTTCTCCCGTATATTTATACCGTAAAAATGGATCAAGGAAACAGAGACCTGCAATTGTCCCTACAGCTGTTTAATAGCTTTCTTTTTAACGATTGTTTAACAAACCTGGTACAATAGGTCACTCCATCTGCGAATCTGCGATGAACAATTGTATTATAAGATTTAAAATGCAAATGTGATTTTATTTGGGTCGGGTCTCTTCCTTGTTGGCTGCTATATATAAATCCCAACTCTGATTTAGTAAGTTATCAGTAAATTATAAACTGCTGATTTATCCATATTACATTTCCAAAATGCATTTGGCAACTACTTTCAGTGTCCTCTTGATTCTGTGCTTTTTGTTTAGAAGTGGACTATCTCAAGACTGCCAGAAGCTCAAAGAAACCTGCAATCCTTGCATACGAAGGCTTAATAATCCTGCCAACAATGTGGGTTTTATTAATGAAGGATGCCGCAGGAAAGTTCGTGGCAGATACATTTGGAAAAATCAAACCCGTTGCGATCTCCAAGTGATCGCTTGTGGAGGTATGTTTATGCTCTATATTAAATGAACAACTTTTAAAATTTCCAAAACGGTTTAGAACTTGAATATAATTCAAACAAAAACTGGATAATAATTTAAAGAAAAGAAATTATTTCATTAAACAAATTTTAAACAAACATTTTATTTTGAAGAAATACACCCCTAAGAAAGTTTTCAATTAATTGTATTTAATTATGTTGTTTGTTTTAGCGCACAATAGAAAAATGGATTGCCTGGTTATAGCCGAGCTTGCCGGCATGCCAAGAAGTAGCTAGAAGCCCAGCCAACAGATCTGTGAAAACCCAACCCAAACCAGCTAAAATATTAAAAGTGATTTTGTCCAAATAAATGCATATTTGCGCAGAGATTTGACTTGGTTACTGCAGCTTGTCTGGGCGGCCAATAAAGCGATATGTTCTTGTCGCTCGTTCTTGGCCTTCAGCATCAGCTTCTCTTGGCCCTGAAGAAGCCCTTCCAGGAATCAACAGTCGCCCGACCACGAGTGCATCTTCCACGTACGGGGCATTATCGTAAAGACGGTCCAGACCAGCATCGCGATGAGTTGAGCCAGGCACGCACAGCCACATCGTCATGGTTGTCTTACACTTGATGCATCCTCGTCATCTCTCGTCTGGCAGTTCTTCAAAACTTCTTTTCGCCTCACTCCCTCACTCTCCTCCAAAACATAATTTTTCAAACGAAATTGTTTTGATTTTCTTGATGGCATAAAAAATGGGAATTTATTGCTGCGCGGTCTGAGATTACAGTCTGTGTTCTTGGCTCAAACGCCAGACAAGAGTTCATCTCGGGAGCTGAACTTGAGATAAAATTTTCCACAGCACACACAAACAGAGTGGCGCCTATTAATAAGTCGCTTATTTACTTGGACTAAAATTGGCTGCCACCCGGGTTCAAGTCTATATTTAAAATATATCGTAAATTATTTACACAATTGTAAAGTTACTTACAGGTCAGTACTATAAAAGTTGTTGATGGAGGTTGGGATCAGCACAGTTTTCCAGAAGTTCTTCAAGAGGTTTCAACATGAAGATTACTCTGATCTGTTTGTTGGGTAAAAAATAATAAACATAGTGCTAAACTTTTAACTAAATTGTTATTTTTACAGTGGGCTTTGTTATCTTGCAATATGCGGAGCAAAGTGAAGCCTGTAAGGAGAAGAAGGTTGAGAAGGCTTGCCATGAAGGTGGGAGAACGGTGCGACATAAGGAACCTCTTAAAGGACCAGGACCTGTAAGAACCACTAGGAGACATGAAAAACCAAGGACAAAGCCCTGCGAAACCAGAAGAACCACCAGAAAACATAAAACAGTTAGGACGACTAGGAGACACGTTCACCCAAAGACTTTACCTCATTGTACGGAGAAAACTACTAAAAGGACTAAGCCACATTGCACAGAGAAAACTACCCACAGGACCAAACCTTCTCATACAAGGAAGACTACTGAAAAGACTACTTATAGGACAAATCCACCTAGTACAGAGAAAACAACTGAAAAAACCACGCCACCTTGTACAGAGAAGACTACTACAAGAACGACTCCACCTTGTACAGAGAAGACTACGCATAGTACAAAGCCACCTTGCACTGAGAAAACTACTGAAAAAACCAATCCACCTTGCACTGAGAGAACTACTAATAAAACCAATCCACCTTGCACAGAGAAAACTAATCCACCTTGCACAGAGAAGACCACTAAAAAGCCTTGTTCACCTGAGACAACTCCTTCTCCAAAGACAACCACTCAAGAACCCTGCGGATGCAGTTCTAGCCACTCTACGGGATGGAACCCAGGAGGTCCTATCAAGACAACACCTTCCACAACCACTCAGAAACCCTGTGAGAGTAGCACTCGTCATTGTCCAGGTTGGAATCCAGGTGGTCCTATTCTGACAACTCCTTCCACAACCAGTCGAAGACCCTGCGGATGTGGTTCCGAAAACCCATTTATACCCAGATGTCCCGGACATTTTGGACCAGGGCCTGTCATTCCCAATAGAGGAGAAGACGGATTTGGTTCGCACTGCCCCGATGGTTGGGATCCCGACAGTCCATTAATACCTGTACCAAAAATTCCTGGACATTTTGGACCAGGACCTGTCATTCCCAATAGAGGAGGAAGTGGATGTGGTTGCCCCCGAGAATGTCCATCCAAAGAGGAACTGAGTGAAGAGCTTCGCATAGAACTGGACCGTATACAACTATTAATCGACGAATGTATCCTCAGACGTTAAAAAAAAAAAACCAAAGGCCAAACGATTACTTAACGAAAATCTTTACCATATTGTTGACTAATAAAATTATTTGTTTTGCAATTAAGTGATTGTGAATCTTTTTTTACCGAACTCCAAACTGCATTAAACAATTTATAAAATTGATTGTTTTGCATTTAATGGCTCTTAAGTTTGACAAACTCCAGGAAGAATTTTCTTTTATGTTGATTTAATAAAACTAAGCAAAGCATGGCGTCTCAATATGCTTTTAATATAAACTGTGTGAAAGCGTGTGTGTCCGTGTGAAGTGCTTTTTAAATACTTGTAGCGGTTTAAGCTTTTACCCTTACCAGCCATCGACCAGCTGCCCCACCCCCAAACTCCCACTCCCACCCGACACCCACTTCAGTTCACGTCATGAACATGATTATGTACTTTATGAATGTGCAGAGAAGCGATTCAAGTATCTAAATGCAAGCAAGAGTTAAATACTCTACAAAACAAATGAAATATAAAAAAAAATATTATAATATATTCAAATATTTAATGGTTCCATTATAGTATAAATAGATTTATCAGTCGAAATGAATAGATCAGACAACAAACATTTCTTATAAAAATGAGCTAGTTATATAATTTCTAAAATTTTAGTATTCAAACAAGGAAATGTGTTTCTTTCAACCCAATTGAAGTCTTTGAATTAGGTTGCCAGTTATACGATATACCATACAACTCAAATGAATATGTATGAATTATCAGAATCTTTTATATCCATGAACTTTCATTAACCATCAGATAGACCCCTTCAAAGGGCAAAGGTGCTGATGATTTTTCCACTCTGCCTGTGCCAACTGCTTATATAATATTTGAAAATTGAAAATCTTTTTGGCGCTGCACTTGAAAAATGCTTAGACCAGGCCATGATGATGAACTTTATAAAACTCTTGACCACATTTGCCGCACCCCCTCCCTCCTCCCCTTTCCCCTCTTCCAATTCCCCTTTCAAACGTCTTTCCTTTCCACTTTTGGACATGTCTGACCAGCTGACGTCCCAACTGGTGGTTAGAGGAGGAGAATTGGAAGAGGGGGACTTGGGTCACTGAAGTTGGGGAGCTCGGAATGCATTGCACTTGACTTTAGCGCCACTTGTAAGTGTAAATTTTATTTGAGCCAGCGGAGTAGGTACACATGTAGACTTCAACCACTCACATTCAACTTGGCCCTTTGTCGAGAGCTCCAAAGTGCCTGGCCAGCGATATTGGCGTTCGCACTCGCACTCGGACTTGGTCTTGCACTTGGAAACATTTTGGATTTTGACTTGGATTCGGTTTCGTTGTCGAGCCGGGGTTTTTTTGGCTCCGGAGTTTAACGTCGTGTCGCTGACAGCTAAGTGGTGATAATCGCTTTTGAATTGAATCTGAGCGAGTATATCTTCACGCAGACCAAGTTGAAATTCAAAAATGCAACAGAGTTGGAGACCAAGAGTTTTGGGACACTGGCCATCGGACAAAAGGCGTCACATTTTGTGGGTGGGCGTTTTGGGTTTTTGTGTTTTGGCTGTGGCTTTCATTCAAAAGACCAAAGGGAGGCTCCCAGGATTGGGGGCCACTTCCTCAACTGCGGTTTGTTTGGCTGGTTACTGTGGCTTCTAATTTGTGAACTGGATTTGCGGCTTTCAGAAGAGGATGGGCTGCCAGCTTAGCTGGATTTGTAAGCCATTAAATCAGGACTTAAAGCTTGAATAGTTGAGGCAATTCTATTCAAAAGAAACTTAACTGTTTTAAACACCATAAATAATTTAGGTTTTGTAATTCAATGCTCTCTGTTTTTGTTTATTATCAATTCATCAAATATCTTGTGTGTTTCATTGTGTAAATTAGTTGATACGCTGCATGCCAGCCACTTCAGCGATGTCCTCACAATTCATTCTACGGTTCGCTCCTGGGGACAGAAGGGGTTTTGGTTAGGAAGTATACATCTCAATATATATTTTTGGAACCTACCCAGGCAGTTCAACCTGGTGAGCTCGCAACGTCCAACATCCCTCCAGCGCCAAGTGGCTCGGGTCTTATTCCTGCAATGCCTGTTGAAGGCTGGCAACTCGCGATCGTTTCGGTTGTTCAGCCTTTCGACGCACCTCTCGCATCTCTGGGTCAATTCATCGCATTGCCTGTTTTGTCCAGCCACCAGGGTCAGGCAAAGGACTAAATACCCAAAAAACGCTGTTTAAAGGAAAAATCCTCTAGAGTTTAATCGGCTACTTACCAAATAGTACCGACAGTATAGCTGAGAGATGCATTATTTTGGCTTTATGTGTCTACACAGGAACTAATAAGTTAGTCAACTACCGATAACTTAGCTCCAAGCCGACTTTATATAAACACCAATCCGCAAAACGCAGCCTCTCAAAACATATGTTTCACAACAAAAGGTACTTAAAAGTCGTGTTCATTCTTTAAACAGAAACAATAACTTTTCAAAAGTGGCAGAAATTCTTTTATAACTATACTTTTAAAATAAACTAGGCCATCTTTTGAGGGCATTGAAGGGCTTTAAACAAAACTTCCTAAGTAAACTTCCTGGTCGAAACAAAGAGTTATTATACTAAAGGCCACGTGTTTTTCCATAGGGCTGTCTGGGACTTTATAAAAACCCAAGTACGAGCTATTTTACAGCACTGAACTTAACCGGCTTCTCAGCAGCAATACCAAAATGTCGAAGCTTACACTGATTATTGGTAAGGATATAGATCTTCCTGAATATCTCAGTATTTGGTTTTTAATCCATTTGCAACCTATTTTTCAGCTATCGCCTGCCTTTGTGTGGCTGTGCAGGCTCAAACTGTTAGGCCAGGAGATCGGGATATATGCCAAGATCAGAACAGAAGGTGCCTGGAGAACGAGAGGAGATTGGGCAGGGATAACGATGTTTCCAACGCCTTCAATAATCACTGCCGCAATACTGTCGGAAACTGGAGAAATGTTTCGCGTTGCGAATTGAGTAATGCCGTTTGCAAATGTAAGTATTAAAATAATTATTTATAGCTTGATTGTGAACTAGATTTAATGCATAAATTTTAGTGACACTCGAGAGGTGCGCTACCGTAACTTGCGCGAATGTGAGAGGAGCTATTGGTGGCAGAACTCCCCCCGGTGGACCAACTACTCGAATCCCAGACCCCGCAGGTCCTCGAACTACAACTCGCAGAAACCCAACTCCCCGTACTTCAACCCGCCGTTCCCGCACTACGACTCGAATCCCAGACCCCGCAGGTCCTCGATCTACAACCCGAAGGGGTAGGACCACAACTCGTAGGACTACAACACGAAGGGGAAGGACCACAACTCGCAGGACCACAACTCGTCGACCTTTGGATGACTAAACCAATTCTTAACTAACTTGCCTGTTCTAAGGAAAAGATGACGACTAATGTATTTTGCTGAAAACCCATAAAAAATTTCAATGCTCTCTAGAACTTTGTGTTTTCTTTATTTTGTATTGCTTTCGTCAAAATTATATTTTTTACTACTTCATTTTGAACATTTGCTTAAATTAAATATACTACACACTTAAACTATCATTGCTCTTATTTAATTCCACTTGTGGCGCTTGAGTATTATTTATTCCCAATTTATCTTCTAACTTATTGGTTATTTCAATTGAACTCGATGCCGCAGTGCTGGTTAGATTTTGTGGCACCTCTAGTTTAATTACTTTCATTAGGCTCTTTGTGTTATTCTTGTATTTTTCATTAGGCAGCAAAGAGTTAAAAATAATTCCAGCTAAGAAAACTCCAAGTGTCATTCCCAGCAACAGACACACGCAATGTTTTTTGTAAGATCGTCCTTTTAATACAAAATATTATATACTTATTTCATATTGTTCAGCGAAATAACTCACCTTCATTTAGAAGCGATCTGGATGCCAACTTGCTATTTAATTTAGCAGAGCTTATTGGGATCATTTTTGATCAAGGTTTCCCACTCGAATAAACGAAAAACACAATGTATTCAACCTTTTCTTTTAAATTTTGCGACAATTGAGTAAACATTCGTTTTAAATGCATATTGTATGGTAGAAAAATGTGCACACGAGGGCCTTAAACTCGTTCAGAATTTTTACCACAACAATATATAAAAAAATTTATAAACTCAGATGCTACTAATATTCATACCTAAAAAAATGAAAGTCCTATATCATGTTGTTATATCTCTAAGCCCGAAGATATAAAGATTTTTTTGATTCTATTGTAGCACTTATTTGAAATAGGTTATAATTTTTAGTGTTAAGTTATAGCTAGTTTCTATAATTAAAACGTCATTTTTGATAATAAAAACGCCCAAATTAAGTTACAGAGCATTGCAATTTTTATTAATTGGCAGGTGAATCAATTAAACCTTTTTTCCGAAAGATCGTTTAGTCCAATCTATGAGTTTTACTCGATGGGTCGTCGGTCAAGTACTCGCCTCACATTTGCACAGCTCAATGTGTCACATCGCTCAATGGTTACTGTACAAAAATTGTATCATAAATTATCAGAAAATTTCGCTGAAAAGTTAAACTTAAAGTCTTACATTGACAAGTGGCCCAAGCTAGTTGGCATCGGGATATATTGGACCAGTTCCTGTCGAATCGACGACACTGGTTGTTGTAAATATCTGAAACATCGTTGCTCCTTCCATTTGTATCAATTCGCGACTCACATCTGCGGTTAACATTTCTGCAAATCTCCCTGTCATTTTGGGCCTGAACGGCCACAAAGAGGCAAATTAAAGCTAACACAAATCAGAAATATTAGGAATCATAAAATGAAAAAGTCACTGCGGCTTACCAATAAACAGACTTATTTTCGACATGGTGATTTTGTTGCTAAAAACGCACTTAATTTCTGTGCTTAAAACTAGTCCATACTTGAGCTTTTATAAAATTCAGCTTGTTCAAAATGAAAATGAGGCAACTTTTTTTAACATATGGTTCATTATTTTCAGCTAACAATTTAAATGGTCTGTCCAGGTTTATTTAAGGGTGTCCTACTTTTTCATTGTTCCTTGAGCCCTATTTTTAAAAACCTTGTATTAAATTAATTCTTCTCGCAGGCTCAAAAACATCTGATACACGTCATTTTTGGTGTTTATATAAAGTCAAGCCTACTGCGAGCCATCTGTAGTTAGCCAACTGATAAGTTTCTGTCGAGTGTGTTGCCAAGTTAAAACAATGCATTTACAACACATTTTAACCTTTGTTTTTGGTAAGTTCTCTTCGGAATCCTTTTGGGACTTTCTTTACTTATTTTAGGCTTATTAATTACTTTGTTTCTGTTAAATAGCCCTATGCATTACCCTGGTAATTGGCCAAGAGCGAGAGTGCGCTCAGTTGAGGCGAAGGTGTAATGAGTGTGTGGCAACTTTAAATAATGACAACGATCGCAATTTGCCCGCCTTCAATAGAGAATGCGCCATAATTACCCAAAGAACCTGGCACTGGAGAAACTTATCGCGTTGTGATATGACCTGGTTAAACTGCTTGGGTAAGTACTTTATATATTTAAATATATATCTGAGTACATCTTATATATATCTTTATTATTTTTACTTTTAGGATGGGAATCCCGCATGAACTGCGGTGAAATTGCTGAAAAAGCTGGCATGAGGCGCAGGCGTAATGATTAAATTATATACAAAATAAAAACTAAACAGAGCATTGAATTAAAACACTTAATTATTTTTGTTTTAAGATTAAATTATTAACCTTTCTTAGTATTCATTTTCATTACTTAGATTTCAATATTCATAATTTAAATTTCTTCATGCCATTTATGCATTGCATACCGCACTATTCGATCTTCTATTTCATATTTATCGTATGGATCGATTTGATGATATAGCATCTGATCTAAAGACTGGTCATCTTTAAAATAATTCAACAATCCTTGACTTAACACGTATAACATTCGCGACACTTTTCGTTCACCAGGATCGTAACTTAAAACTTCACTTTCAGTTGTTAAATGATCATCGTGAGATTGGATGTCAAATTCAAATGATATATCATTGACGGCATCCGGGTCATCAGTATTGCCAACTGTTATATGATCAGGGATTTCGTTATGATCCTCATCAGGTATTTTCCCTTCATTATCGCTATTTACATAATCAATATCAGGACGGGTTAAATGATCGTCTGGGTGTTCCTCCGGGTCAATATAATCCTCCAGCTCCGATTCACCATTAGGCTTCCCTAAATCTATTAATTTTAAAACATTTTTAATAATATCAGAATCAAGGAAAATATTTTACTTACCCATTAGCAATAGAAAACATAGAATATTTAAATGAATATGAAGTCCCATATTTCTCTTCTCGTAGATCTTGTAGCTCTCAATCAATATATAATACTGGTGTCTTCCATATTAAAAAACATCGCTTTTATTGTTGCAAGCTTTTTTATATTTAAACAGCATTTTTCATAAAATGTTATTTACAAAGAATTCTTTATAAATAATAAAGTTAAAATTATAGGATCGACAGATGAAATACCCTTCGTTCTTATATTTAAAACGAGTAGTCCTCCGCATATATTTTTTAGCCTTGAATAAAGATGTTAAACTAGGCTAGTACTTACACACCATTTTTAATATATAGACACATATAAGAAATATTTGCAAAAACAGTCTGTAAAGAATCGAGTAAAAATATTAAGAATTAAGCTTAATAAGTACATACAAAATTAATATTCCTAAGAAAATAATTATATTAAATTACTTGTGTTGCCTTAAGACTTTCCACACGGCTAGAACTAAATCAAGCTCTTTAAACATTCCTCTGAAGCTTCTATCTGTTCTCCAGAACAGAGCTTTACCTCAAGCCCCTTAAGTATTTCACCACAACCGATCGGGCCAGAGAATAAGCCAATTTAACTGCTGCTCTCACAGGTAAACAAAACTCGGTCAAAAATTGGTGAGAGAAAAACAGGCCCGCGTGCTCAAAAAAACAAAAAAAAAAAGAAACGAAAATAAACAGAAACTGGCAGGCAGGCGTTAATATGCGTACAATACTGTTTAAACAAGAGACGAGATTTTGTCACTGTCGCCCGATCTATCTGCTTAAATACACAATGTGATAACGAAGATTGCGGGCATTAAACAATCTTTTCGAACTGCGCTTCAGTCGTCAGCTGTTCTCGCCGTTTTTCACACACAAAACCGAGATCCGAGCCCGGAAAACCAAAAAAAACGAAGGAATAAAACAAAAAATATATGAAATAAGTGCAGAACATTCCAAGTTTGTTTAGTTTGCTGGCGAGTTACCAAAGAAACGGTCTCGTTCGACGGCTCGCTATAATATATATTAGTTTTGGTGCCAAAAACCGGGTTAAAATAAACGAAGCACAGTGATTGAATGACTGACTGATTGAGTGAGTGAGCTTCTGCAATTATGGCTAATTATACGGTGGTGCGCTTGGCCAAAGTGCAGCCATATCTGCATACGGTTGGCAGTAGCTATGCGGCTTTGGCCAACATCGATGGCTTTTATACGCCGACCTTGAACGCGGAGCTGCTCGATTTCCATGGAAATGCCAGTGGAAGCCACGCCAATCTCACCGCCGAGAGTGTCCTGGTTCTTATCGGGGATGAAACGTATAGCAATCGATCCACCTCGACCATCGTCCTGATGGTTTCCGCCTGGATCCTGCTGATTCTGGGCTTTGTCTTCTGCTGCTGCGCCGAATGCTGTGGCGTCAGCGTTTGGCGGGGCAAGAAGACCCGCTCCACTGGCGACAATCAGAATCAGGTGGAACGGGGTGGAGGTGGTGGGAGTGGGAGTGGCACCGCCCACGATGCAACCGCTGCAGGTGAGTACTGTCCAAGTTCCCCATCGAAATCGTCGGAATCGAAGCTTTTATCTGGGGGCCCGTTTGCATACTTTCGGGCCGCCATGAGATATTGATTGGCCCTGGGGAGGCAGGCAAGTTTTGGGGATAGCCGGGGTCATATTTCACGAATATCCCATAAATGGGAACAATAAACGAGCAGACGGAGGCATATCCAAGATTTTGCAAGTGCAATACACTCTAAAATTCTTTGGTCATTGGGAATCATTAGCTATGATATAGTCAAAATATAAAATTCTTACAGTCCTAAGACCTAACTCAAAATTGTGCTTAAAATTTACCTTAAAATAACTTGAGTTTTTATTGAATTTAATTGTTTTAATATAACTACATTCTAGAACACCCACAAATATTTTTATATTCAATATGTCTCTAGTTACCTAGAGGTAATAATATTTTTAACGGAGTTTTCTTATTTGTTTGTAGATCTTTTATAAGGTTTTAAAAGAAATCTATTTTAAAACTCTTTTTCTGAATTTTTATTAACTTCGTATTTAGCTTTTACTTCAAACTCTTTCCTAGTACCGAATATTATTTACTCCCCTCCAACTGCAGAGTATAAAAACGCATTTGAATGGCCTGTCAATGCGCTTTGCTGGCATTGCTGAACCACTTTTAAGGGAACACGAAGGGGCTTCTGTGTGTTTGGTAGTTGCAATGCGGAACTGCCTGCCTCATCGATATCATAAAATATTTAGCTATTTCTCTTATTTCGTTTCGCTTCGTTTTTGGCAAATTTGGCATGCGTTTTGGCTGAAAATTGGCTTCTGGCCAAGTTAACGAAACGTTCAGAGGAATGAATGCTTCTACGCAAACATTCACACATAAACATGCCAGCCAGGCTCACACAAATACACTGAGAAAATTTAAAGATTAGGTTCATTTGTTTTGGTTTAAAATATATTCGCTGTAATTGTGCAAACATAGTTAAACAAGCAAAGTTAAAAATATTTAACAGCAATTTGTCACTTGTTTGTATGTTTTTTGCTTTAATTTTATAATATTTATGTATTAATAGAACATTCATCGAACCTTAATTATTTTCTCGGTGCAAAGACAGTAGAATTTCGACCGATAATTTGGTTGCATATGCTGCGCTCAATGCAGCTTCTGTTTGCATCGTTGGCAATTAGCATTGTCTCGAAGATATTGCGTTTCATTAGAGCGATATAGGTTTGAGAGTGTTTGTTTGCGCCTCTGCCTTTGTGTTTGTGTGTGTGTGTAGGAGTGTGAGTGTGAGTGTGAGCCAAAGTGCACAGCAGTCAATGGGTCATTTCGATAAGGGCAAAATTTGTTGCGAAATTTGTTTGCCATTTAAGCCGAAACTCTGATTTGGCCATTGTGTGGCAACCAGAAGCTTAAGTTGTTGCATTTGGGCTATCGTTTCTCTTGATTTTTGGTGTGCTTTTGTGTTCTGGCATTTCAACTTAACAACCGAAACAATATTTAGAGCCAATTGTGAGTAAGCACAGATGATGGGTTCAAAATGCCAAATAAATAGTGTTTTGTTACCTTTATTTAAGTCCAGGAATGTGTGTACGATTAAGATCGATCATGGTTAAAGAGGTTAGCCTGTATGTTCTTAAAAACCGTAGAAAATTGTTGATGCGAAAAGCATTACAATTAGAACAACAAGGAGCCAATTACTTACAATAAAGCATTTGTTGACTTAAACTGGTTTATAAATCTGCTACTAAATTAAAATGAACATTTAAATTATATGGTGACATAAAATATCCTTTTAACAAGGCGGATTATAGCTTAAATACAACTTGCAACCAACAAGATCCATAATCCTTCCACCAAGACATATAACCTATATAAAATATTTCTTTTCACCTAACTTTTTGTGGGGTATATTCAATTTATTCGCTTGAGCGCATTTGGCCCATTTCGATAACAACATAAGAAGCTTCTTAGTATGTCAGTGCAATAAATTCTTCCACTTTCGTTTCGTTTCGAACTGTGGCCACAAAACGTGCCGGGGTCTTCTGGTGTTTCCCCGGCCAATAGTTGCCTAGTTAATGCCCCTGTTCCTTATTCTTGTTTGCCGCACACGGCCAACTTAAAGTTGAGAGCCATAAAAATTGCGCAAAGTCACAAATGTTTTATGAAACTTTTCGTTTCGTCTTTTTTTTTATGTTTTATTTAGCCTTACGCTCATTTCGCTGCACAAGTTTTAATAAAAAACTTCAGCCTCTTGCGCGAGCCAACTGCAGTCGATGCTTTTCCCCGGGTTTTTCTGTTCAGGAATTCATAACCGCATTTCTCTCTCGGGTCGCCGCTTTCCGGGGAAAGTCGAGGGGGAAAAAGCGGAAAACCAGGAGGCGCAGTTGTACATACCAATTGCTTATGTATCGACAATATGGGGCTGTGAGTGCAACCTCCCCTCCCCACATCTTGCCACCCATATTGCCACCCATATTGCCACCCATCTTGCCACCACGCATCCAACCAACCAACGGGTCCCAGCTGATGCGGCAAAAGCCCGGGCGTATAATAAGTTTTTGTCTTCCAACGTGGAGGAGCGCTCGCCAAGTTGCTCGCCTCGAGTTGAATCTATAATTCAGTTTTCCCAGCTATTTCCTTTTGTATTCGATGCGTAGGCCACTTTAAATTTTCTTAACAAATTTGCAAAGATGATGGAGAAGGAAAATGACAGACTGAAATAAATCCTTCAGTATCCTTGAACAAAGAGGTTACTCTGCTGTCCCAAGTGTCTTTTTATATACAATTAAAAACAAATATCTACTGTTTATAATTGAAAATTATTTATAATTAGCTAACTTTTCTTAACTGCATTTAACGGAATTCTGGTTTAACCATTATGCTTTGAATTCAATATTAAAAAAAAAACTTTAAAAGTACACGGATTTCTACTCTGTACTGAGGAACCTAAAAATATAAGAGTACTTTTTTATTATTTATGCAAGCAAAAATGCGTAAAAATTTCTTTCAACTTTATTTGCTGTTTACGCGCTTCATTTGCTGGGACCACCGAAAACCCCCTCGAAACGCCCTGCACCACCCAACCACCGAACCACCCACTGTCCCGATAATTCGTGTACATCATTTTTTACAGCTCCTCATCAGTTGGTGGCTCTGCTTAGTTAGTCTTTCATGGCACTTTGATTGCTCATTTGGCATTTATTTGATGATGCCGGGACCCGTCTGTCTTCGGGGTCCTTAAATTATTCATTGTGCGTGTGCGTTGGTCCTGCGACTCCCCGCTCGTCATCAAACATCTAACATCGTCTCAATCTTACGCTGAGACCCTGCGAGTTTTTTAAAATATTCATGTCCCGCCGCTGGCTAGCGAAACGAGAAAAAAAAAAAAAAAAAAACGGTAGACAACTCGCTGAAAACATCGGCGGACGGAGGCGACCAACTAAAAGTGCGTAATTTTTACCGACA